AATCAAACAAAACGCTGTCTGACCCAAACCAATACATTCCAGTTCAATTTCTGGCACCTTTAATAAAAAAGAAATGAAAGGCCAGGCTCAGGCACCGTTCACAAATCTAATAGAAAGAAGTTCCTCATCTAATTAATAATCTTACCTGAGTGATAGGTATTATTCCCATTTTACTGAGGGGAAAACTGAGGTAAAAAGAAAGGCAGCAAATTCCTCAAAGTTATTGTCAGAGGCAGAGCCAAAACCAAAACCTTCTCCTCTTCCATCCAAACGTATTTCAATTTGGCCAAGCCTTGGAACCAACATGCCTTGATTTTTGTACACTCTTTTACAGGTTGTTATAAAGGGTGCAAATTGCATATAGGAGAAAGTCAAATCTGTGCTTTTTATATATCATGCTTTAAACATTTCCAGTTTTTACTTTAGCACTATGTGATGGCTAACAGCAAAGCTGCCATATCACTACATTTCACTTTATTTTTGATAGCCTGTGTGCAGACTTCTTTCAAAAAGAAAAAAGATGCTGCCTAATGCAATAGGGATTGGTTCCCGGTGATGCTGAGGTGAGGAAAGTATTTTGTGAAAAGCTGAACAAAGATGCTACGAAGATCTGAAGTGATGTAGTACAACAGGGAGCATGTTACCTGAAATCACAGTTCTCCTCCTTCTAGACATTAGCATGGCACTTAGTTAAAAAACAAAAAAAAAAAAAATTAACAGCTGTTCCTTATTTTTGCTGTTAGCCTTTAATCTGTATCTTTAGAGCCTTCTACCTCATTATACCTGAACCATCAGTACTTCTCACTGAATGTCTGCCTTAAATGACCAGGAATACCCCACTTTATAAATCTACAGAGTTTTCAATGCACCAGTGGCTAATTTCCATTCCCATAGTAAGCCTGCCTCTGTAATTCCAGGCTCTGAACATAAACTCAAAGTGAAGCGCACACACTGTTAGAAATTCTCTATATTTAAACATGAAAAGAACATTCAGTTCTCTTGATGTGGGGCTCAGCGAAGATCTATTGCCAGTAAACGTTAGCTTAAAGAAAAATAAATTATCAGAGGGAGCAGAAACTGTGGACAAGGATCCTGATCCTTTGAAGAACTCAGCACTTTCTATTCCACTGATGTTCATGAGAGCAAGGCATTTTGAAGACTTCAGGCTTAAGAGAAGCAAGGAAGATTATCTGGGTGATTTTGTGTACTACCTTTTCTCTGTAGGACATTAACTTACTGTAAGCCATGGCTGGTTTTATTGGTCTGCCAGCTTCCATACCAAGTATCCAAGACCTTTCTTCTTCAATCAAGCAACAGACTGTATTTATAGCAAAACTGGGCAGAATATTAAGACATGGTTTGAATAATCAGATAGGATAGTTCTACTTCTCATTCCTGTGCTCAGAACCAAGTCTTTGGCACTGTGAAATTCACCTGGACCAAGGAAAGTCAGGAAACTTGCTACAATGGCCAATGCCTGCACTAGACATTAGTGATCTGACAGTCATCTAACCACAGTTCAGCCCAAGTGTTGCCCATGACTTCACGTTACTAACCTGCCCAACATTGAACGTCAGCGTGATGGCATAATAAAAGTTGGAATTGGCACTTCCTGCATAAATCCAGAGATGCCACAGAACTGGGAACAGAAGGGAGCAGACGATAAGCATGCAGGAAAGGATGAAGATGTTCCGGAGGACTGCAGGAAAAAAAAGAGGGTTAGAACAATGGAGCGGACATGCTAACGAGCTGCTGACCTCATGCTATCTGATGAGCCATCTCAGCATGTCTACAGCACCTTCCAGCAGTATAGAGGGTGCTTCTTGCTAACACTTTGACCTTTCAAAATGATAAACACTTGCAATAATCCTCCTATTAGGTCCTATAACAAACCAAGTGGGATTTTCCTTTAAAACCAATACATTGTGCCCATTTAATATTTGATGAATTCCCTCACTTGCAACTCCCGCCTCCACTTCCAAATTTTAAACAAGTGCTGCTCTGACAACAGGAAAAACAGGAGTCCTCCAAGCAGCAGCTGGGGCATAGTCTGTCCAAAGCCCACTTCATCTGTCCCTTTAAGAATCCACCCCAGATGATTCTCTGGTGTCCAACTGTTGCATGGAACCTCGCTTCCAAAATCACCAAGTATCACAAAGGAAATTGAGGGGGAACATGGGAATTGACTGCTTTGAAACAGTTGGGCCTGGGCATTACAGCAAGGTCCTTCTGCCTCAGGTCCTTTCTTCTGACTAAAGCAGACTGTCAGGTATGCATCTCCCCTAGCCCACCTCCACCGTAGAACCAAGCAGCTTTGAGGGGAACCCTAATAGCAGCAGCAGGCCTCAGAGTCAGTTCAGACCTTTGCCAAACTTGTAATCTAAAGAAAAATGAAGATGGAGAGTGAATGGTAGGAGGAAAAAGTGACATCATGTCTTTTAAGCAATTTCAGAATGCTGTATGAAGATAAGGCATCAAAATGGCAAACAGACTTCAGGATACCGAATGGGCAAAGTCTCTTGATAAACAAGTGTGCCTGGGCAAGTAAGAGTGTGGCCAGCATAAGGTACAGTCTGTCTTGGTGTGCTAGTCAGAGAAGAATCAGACACCTCCCTGTCCAGAAGTGCTGCAACTGTTACAGATTTAAAAGCTAGAGGCGGCTTCCTTCCAGAAAGCCATTGTAGCTTCCCCTGTTAAAATGGTATTACAGCTCACCCAACACACTGGTTGCTGTGCTTGCCTACAGGAGAGCCAGAATTACTGAAAGCTGCCCAAAAGTCTTCCAATTACCCTGGAACCAAAGATGCTAATGATATTGTCCTGCCACAGTACAGCCAATTCTTTCTTGTAATACGTTAAATACCATCTAATATGTTTGTTCCCTGTTTAATAAAACCAATAGGATGCTACAGGATGCAAAGCCTTGAAAGAAATTCATTCCTTCTACGATGCCATGCCAGTGTCTGCTCGGAACTACCAGATTACCTGGGGCGAACCTGGATGTCTCAAGAGTGACCCGAAAGATCAGGTCTAAACCACAGGGTAACTGGGTTGTATTATCAAAGCAGTTCTGTCCTCACCAGAAGTTAATGTGAACCAGCAAGACAGTTACTCTCAAAGGAGGTAAAATGCCTCATGATTCTCTGGATAGTTCTAATACAGGGACCCAGTGAAAGACCATTTAAATATAAGCTTGACTATAGGACAGCCTTTGTTCTTTCTCTTGTTTCATGGCTTTGGGTTAGCTCTAATTTTTAATGAATGCAAAATTGGAAATGACTGAAAAATCATTAGAGGAAAGATGAGACCAGGGAGTGAGACCTTTAAACTAAAAGTTTGGCTTGGTTATCAGAAGCCAGTAGAAACCAAAGCTAGAGATGTCTACATATCCAGCTTTGCTTAGACCCCTTATATGTAGCAGCTTATATCACTTAACTAAAAATGGGACCATGTCTAGATAGGAGATGGGCTGAGACAATCCAGAGTGCTGCTTGACAGGACTGGAGTGATTGCAGAAGTCACCCTCAAACCAGTCACTCTAGGAAGCGGGGCAAATCTTCCTGGAATGTCACACTGCCAGGCTTATTAAATTCCTGCTGACATGACACACTGCAGCTACAGTCATTCTGGCATGGTATGCCCTGCAATTTGAGTCCAGGACGAACAGCAACAAGCTACCCTGGCAATTAAACTAAATCCACTGCACAAGGGCTAGGAAGGCTTCTTTTGGTCTGGTCTAGCTAGAAGCAAGAACAAAGGCTCAATCCAGTTGGTATACATTCTTACCAGATTACTGTACACACAGCAAGAGGCAGCTGTGAATGATGGGGTTAGAATGCCAGTGGAGGGCCAGGTGACCTGACTGTTTTAGGAATGGTGCCTAAATTACCAGAGCCTTAAACTAGAATTAGATGCACCTGAGCCTCATTCAAAAGGTGGTTGAACTGTATGTCCATAAAACAAAACTACTTTGTTCTCAGGCACCCTTTGTGCAAGGATCTCAGGGGATTTTAACAAACAAGCAACTAATCCTCATATCACCCTGTGGAGAGAAGTGAGGGAAAGTAATTTACAACTCATATACTCCCCTTGCCCTCAAAGACACTTCATGATGCAACCTGCAATTCGACTTCCTTTCCATCCAGCTGACCAAAGCAAAAAGACAGTGCTTCTTGAAGCATATAGTTGTATTCCAGAGGCAAAGTCACAGGGTTTCATTTGATGATGCAAGTTAATGCTTAAATGCCCCACCTTGGACATGCCAACAACCACCAAGTGGAGCAAGATTGTCCATGGGGCAGAACCAAACACACAGAACTTACATCTGTAGAGGTGGCTCCAGACTGGAAGGAAAGCCATGTACAGTGCTATGTCTCCCACAGTGGGGTAGGATTTGAAGATAGAAATGATGGCAATCTGAACAAACATGAAGAAAATGGGGTGTTCCCTAGAGGGGAAAGAAACAGACAGTCACTAGATGGTGGAGGCACTGAAACAGCACCATTTGTGTCTCAAACCTGATGTAAACACATTGCAGGGACATGCTGACATTATCCAAGAAAAACTCGTGGAAGTTTTCACTTTATTGTTCTGGTGTCCCCAGCAAATCTCTCAAAGTGCTCAGCTACATGTACCAAAATGTATTTGCATGCTATATGCACCACCATGTGGATACATACCAGGGCTGTGTGAAGCTTTGGTAGCTGATTCGATTCAGAGAAGATTCAGCCCAATTCAAGGACTGGATCTTCGAATCAAATCAGGGGACCAATTAAAAGCTCTGAATCGATTCAAAGCATCTGAATCGATTTGGAAAAGCTTTGGAAAAGTTTCGGCCACTTCAGAGATTTGGCCATAGACTAAACAGGCAGCTGACACAGCTGTCTCCAGCTGGTAAGTCTGTTGGGGTTGGGGGAGGGGAGTGGTGTGAGGGAGGGAGGGAGGGATAGGGGCTGGG